TCTGTGCCAGAAGTCATGCAGACTCTCAGTGTTGTGGCGTTGGGAGGTGGGGCCACGGGAGGCCGTTAGGTCATGAGGGGGGAGCCCCCCTAATGGCAATAGTGTCCTTATAAAAGATCCAAGAGCCCAGGCATCCCTGTCACCACAGGACACAGAGAGAAGGCGCCATCTGTGAACGGGAGGGAGCCTCACCAGAGAGCGCCTCTGCGCAGCCTTGGTCCTGGACGGCCCCGTCTGTGGTGCTCTGCTAAGGCCGCTGAACACACTCCCTGGGCACCTGCCCTGCTCGCCTCGTCCTCCACCCGTGTGGACGGGCTCACGCAGGCCTGCTCCTAGACACGGGGAGAAGTGAAGGCCTGGCAAGCCTGGTCAGCCACCTGAGACAGGAGACGCTATCTGCGTGGTGCCATGAGGCGCCGTGGGAGTGCCCACCCCCAGGCAGGCCACTTGAGGCAGACTCAGCATGGCTCTGCCTTTTCTTCTCTGTGGGTCTTCAGGAATCACCCCATTTTGCTGGCAGGCACCATGCTGCATGGCTTTGAGCAGCACATGGCTCTGGGTTCCACGTGGACCAGCCATCTTGGGCAGTTCCACAGCCTCACACACCTCACAGTTCTCTGGGACCCCTGACCATTCACTAATGGCTCACACAGAGGACACGGAGGGCCAGCCCATGCCGGCCAAGGGGAGCAAGCGCGCCCACAATGTAGAGAAGGATCTCAAGGACCGCGGCACTGTGCAGTGGAGGCTCCTCCACAGGGACACGGGCCTGTGCTCTGCACTTGCCATGCTTTCTGCTCCTGGGCACCACATGCAGCATCACCTCCTGTCTGCCAGACAGGAAGAGACCAGCGGTCACACACTGAGGGGCACAGCCCCCTCAGTGAGGTGTCACTGGCTCTTATCACCTGTCTGGTCACTGGACTAGGAGGTAATTCTGTCTCTGAAACAGTGATGCTGAACTCAAACAATTTGACAGAAATAATTCTTAGTGTGAGCTGAAAATAGGTCTTGTTTTACTACCCAGCAGCTCATCTCAGGGAACATCTCCTTTAATTTACCCCCTGCTAAAATTTAAATAGCTATGGCAAATCACATAAAACATGATTTGAGGAAATGCAGTTCATCAGCTTGTGTGACAAACTCTAACTGATGTTATTTTTGTGACCAAAAAAAAAAAAAAAAAGCTTCGGAAGTAGCCCACATGGCTCTACACAGCGATGCGCATGGGGCCATCAACGCTGCAACCGTGGCTGCTTGGACATGCACTAGGTTCCGAGCTGACCGCTGGTCGGTTTCCTCAGGGCTGGGTGCCACAGTGGTCAGGAAGGAGCCTGGCCTTGAATCGAGGACACCTGCTTTTCTTCCTCTTCTCTCTGGTGACTAGCAATGTCTGCCCCACTTGTGATGGACAGCCTCAAGCCCCGGGCCCAGGGTGGTCTGGGTGGAATTCTGGTAGTGTTACATGCAAAATTCACTCTTGAAATTTTTTTTTTGATTCTTAGCAACTAGTTTTGGAATTTAGGAGAGGATATTTAAATATGAAGTGAAATATAGATTTGTATTAGTTTTTCATACACTTCTAAATTGCTCTGAGACTCGTTGTGTGTGTATATATATATATATATATATATATATATATATAGAGAGAGAGAGAGAGAGAGAGAGAGAGAGAGAGAGATCCTACATATATACTATGTATGGTTCATGAATAAATAAACGTTATATATGTATAAACTACAGACATGTAGAATCCATATATATGAATCACATAGAGTTTAACACAGATGTGCATGTATATATATGCATATATGGAGAGAGACTTAAATATACTTACATAGTTTGATAGGTGAATAGCACTGCTTTATACASCTAGACTGAAATTTATTTATATCAGACATATTGAAATTTACTTAAAACCTTTTTGGTTTTTAACAGATGATTTTGAGTTAAGAAAGTTTGTTTGCAAAAAAGTTTTAAATAAACAAAGCTCACTTCCACGTGACACTCAGGTCTTCCTAGTCCTTAGGCTCCCTTTATGTCTCACCCCAGATGCTGTAGGATCGACTCTCCCCTGAAGACTGCTAACTGACCCTTCCATCTGGGCTCTTGGGGGATGGAGGAGACAGTAGTAAGTGAGGAAACCCAGCTGCTCCCATGCCTGCAGGTCTGGGGAAGTGGAGGCCCGTGGAGGGTGGTGTGGACAAAGTTCCGTCCTCTTTGATGCCCCTGGAGGTCACTTCACCATTTCTGTGTGTCCCGAGGCTGCAGGAGAGTGCAGGATGCTTCTATTATAGAGAATCGAGACCTTCGGCCCCTCAGGGCAAGAGTGTGATTCAGAGATTTGAGGACCCCGTAAATGCCAATACCCCTGATAAGCTCAAGCTCTCTCAACATCTGTGGAGAAAGAGTGGGGAGTTTGATAAGGGTGGTATGAGGGCTCCTCCGTAACAGCTGGGAGTAAATACACTGCCACCCACGAGGGGTCTCTGGACCCACACAACACTGATCTTAAAATCAGGTGAGGCAGCATTTCTCACGGGACGGTTCGTAGACTAGGAGGCAGCCCATGGAGCCTGGTTCCATGCTGCACTCACTGGAAAATTCTGGGGAAACCCAGAGTAATCCACAGACAGCACATGCCCCTGGGAAAGTGAAGTGGCCAAGTGAGGAGACCACCTGCGGGCGCAGGGACTGCTCATCCAACGCCCTCTACTCGGTTTGAATTCTGCTGTGAGTACAGCATTTATAGAATGCAAACACTTTGTGTTTTGAGAAATCTCCAAGTTAAAAAGAAATGCGGGTGGCAACCGGCGCCAGCACTGGTCGAGCTCTCGCTGGGTGCCATTGGAGTTCTCTGTCGAAACCCTCGATCATCACAACCAAGCTATGAAGCAGACGTCCTCACCACGATGCCCAGAATTCTCTCTGCTCTTCAGACCCTGAGCATGTGTGTCTTGGCAGGGATGGAGTGAACTCCGCAACCACCGTTTTGGTTTGGGCTGTGGTGTTCTCTGTGCTTTTAGATCCATCTTACGCAGGAGCAAGTGTTGGTCAGTGTTGAAAAGTGAGATCAGACACGTAGATCTTCGGAACCAGCCCCGAGGTGCCTAGCTGAAGGGTCAGGGTGGTGTCAGGTGGCCTGGCCCAGAGCCTGGGCCCCTAACACTATGCGTTAGTTAGAGCCATGTGGTGCCAGAGTCTGCAGACATGGATGCACTTTAGGGCAACATGGTTCAACAATGGGTTGTGTGCATTTAGTTGTGTACTGCATGGTCACCTTGGCATGGGACTTGCTCTTCGCCTCCAGCTATTAGCTAAACATAGCACTCGGGAAATACTGATTTCTAGGATGTCTTCTGATCCTAGAAGTCTTGCTATTCCTCCTGTTTAATCATCTCTTTACCTTTGGAATACTGCTTTGTGGAAAGATAATACCTGGTACTGAACGGGCAGCCCCGGGGATGGGCGGTTATCCGTGTCTTTGTGGCATCTCAAGCTGTACGATTAATGGACGAGTGACACTGTTTACAGAGTACTAATCAGAGTTAAGTGTAATTATAATTAATGTGTGCTGGTCAGCAAGTGGAAATGCGACACTTGTTAATTGAAAATACACATAGCCTTAGTAGTCGGGACCCACAGTTGGACATGGTGGCGGTCTCTGCTCTTCAGCCACCGGGGCCCTCAGCATGTGTGTCTTGGCAGGGACACCGTGAACTCTGCAATTGTTCCTCTGGAGGCTGGGGTGTCCACTGTGCTTCTAGATTCACCTTAGGCAGGAGCAAGTGTTGGTCCATGTTGGTATTAAGCTTTCTTCTACAGTCGAGACGTTCAACAGGCCATGCCCAAACTCCCGAACACCAGGAAGTGCCCAGCAATTATCGCTGCATTCTAGTCTGATGTTGGAGTGGGATGGAACGTGAGGGCCCCACGCCTCCAGCAAGAAGAAATCGACTCCACACCTTCCAGGTGAGTGAGCTCAGGTAGGGCCTCTCCTCACCACAGGGTACTGGCACAGCCTGACCAGGGAGAGCGTACCACCCTGAGCTCACACTGGCCGACTCCTGACATGTCGCCCCACCTTTGCTCTGCTGGGGTCTGCAGGTGATTTCATTACCTGCCTCATTTGCGTCATAGCTGACAAACTCTCACGACCTTTTTTCAACTCCTGAAGCCACACTTACAGCATACACTTGGAAAATAGGAGCTTACTGTCCACCCAAATTCACAAAGCAAAAATGAATAAAATCCCAATTCTCCAATTTAACAATGCCGTTTTACCCTGTGAAAATGCACCTTATCATGTCAATGTCTTCAAAGCTCAATAATTAACGAAGGGTCTAGTAAAATACTGTAAAACCTGTTTCAAAGGCGAATCCAAAGAACAGGCACGCACAGGCAGCCCTAAATCCTGAGGTGAACACGGCACTCTGTTGGAAGGTGGTCCCTGGCACAGGGCGAGATCGATCGCAGCTCCTCTACAACAAAGTCACTCGCATTCTTCGGCCAGGAACCCTCTGCTTAGCTATCAGTTTCTACCACCTCCAGATTGGTAAAATAGGCCGTCGACAAGGAAAAGCACAGAATTTTCATTTCAAATAATTGGGTTGGCTCAAAGAAATTTATAAATATAAACCATATCCCGTACATTGCACTGTTCTTTTTACCTGTGTTTTCATTTTGAAATTTCCCATAATGAAAATAAAGGCTTTGAAGACAGCACTCAACATGCTGCTCAACATGCTACCCTGCGAGCCTTGCRTCAGGGTCTTTCTATGCTCGGTCTCACAGTTTGTTTTAACGTAATTATGGCACCCATCACAGAACGTCAGGCTTTCGAAATTTAAAATCCTCACTCCAGATGGGAACGGTACACAGGACGTAAGGAAGTGCACCCAGTCAGTCCCTATGCTAAGCACCTTCTGGTGGGTTGATAGCTCATCTCTAACCAGGCAGAATGCCGACCTCTGCTGAGAGCCAGTGTGTTTCGGTCCTACCTTGGTAAATGGCTTTGAATCCAGGGGAGCCGATGCTGTCGTCAGACTGCAGGTGGAGCCACATCTGGTTGCTCATGCTCACGATGAGGTCGGGAACGCTGGATCCCGTGAGCCTGCGCAGAACAGGGAGTTAGAACCTGGTCAAAGACAACTTTACTCAAGTCAGTCTGACTTTCTCCTGGGAGGAGGGTCTTGCTGCTTAGGCAACCAAGCCCTGGAGGACTAGACAGCAAGGCCTCCCTCGGAGAATCTACGACCACTTGTGGTTTACCCTAGCACTGAAGAGTTGAGATCACCCGCATTTCACAGTGAGTACTCCATCTCTGCAAAGGTACACCTCTTATTATAAAAATCAGCTTCCTGCGATGGACTCCCTCATTTACCTGCCACTGAGGGCTTCCCCAGAAGCAAACTTAGGCTGCTAACACTGGGACAATCTTGGGGAAAATGGGGCCACGGGCCATGCAACATGACCCCATGGTAGGTACAAGTTCATTCACAAAATGATCAGATTGACCAGCGTAGATTTATCATGTACCTTTTCACAATCTCTATTAAAACTCATTATAGGTAATCACATGTTTAAAAAAATGGTAAAGAAGAAGAGCGCGCCTAGCAGAAACAGACTCAGCAGCACTCCTGAGCTTCCCCTCTGCATGTTAGTGCCCAGGTCAAGCCATGCAGCGCTTCAATGAGGCATTCAGTGTACATTAATAAAACAGTCACATAGCAGCTGCTGTCAGCCAGTGAAAAGAAACACTGAATCCATTGACTGAACCCGATGTGCTGACAGAAAAGCATGTCGAAATAGAAAAAGTGCAAGAAAGAAATCAATTCAACCAAAACAAATGTCTCTAATCAAATAGGAAGCTTTGCTTTCGGCAAAGTAGTTTCAGGAATATGAACACATGATTTAGCCCATCAATCATATCATCTGTCTATCAACCCAGCATTCTTGTTGGAGGCACAGAATACCTGGATCTTGAGAGCAAGATGAACAACAGTCATTACTGAGAAGTAGTGCATGTGGCATTACCCACCAGCCCCAGAGAGCAGGTGTCCCAGTGACTGACGTGCAGTCCGCAAGCACGCACGGTTTTCTGAAGATGTGTTTTGTTGGCAAGATTGTTCTTTTCTGCATGGATGAGTTGTTTCTTCCTTGTTTGATTTGAAGAGAGATTTGTTTTCCTCTTCATGCACATATTTTATTGAAGTGTAACAAACGAAAATGTGCATGGATCATAAATGACTCTCTCTGGGGCTCTGTGTAAAATGAACCACCACACAGATCAGCAAGGATACCAGCTCCCAGAGGCCTTGCTCCGCCTGCCCCCTTGCTCCGACCTGGATGAAACATGGCTGGGTTTCCTGTTTTTGTGGCTTTCTATGAATGAAGTCATGCTCTGCATGACATGTGGTTCAGCATCGCCCTGGTGCCGCTTACTCATGCTCGTTTGTACTTCATTCACTGTAATTTCCACATGGAATCACAATGTGCCTATATACATAAGAAGGGATTAATGTTGGTTAATGTTGAAGATCAACGTTGTATTTTCGAAGTTTTTATTGAGACAATTGTGAATACCTATGAAATAGTTAAATCAGTATGTATTTTCCCCCTAGTTTCTCCTTATTCCAACATTTTGCAAAATTATAATGTAATATCACAACCAGGATATTGGCACTGATATGGTGTGGCTGTCTGGTTCTCTCTGGCTCTCGGGTATTCTGTGTGGGTAGCTCCATGTTACAGCACCCGTGGGGGTGGGAAATCTACCCTTCAATCTTTACAGACCAGTCCCATCCCTGCAGAATTCCCTCAGGAGCTACCACACTGACTTCCTCCTGCCACCCCCACCCACCACCTCTGTCCCTCGCCCTTGGCAACCCCACTCTGTATCACCACGTCATTTTTATTTAAACATATTATGCAAGTGGAATCATCATGTTTAGCCTTTGGGATCGACTGTGTTCAGTTGTCTTAAATCCCTGGAGCTCCATCCAGGGGGTGGTTTGTCCCAGGGCTCATTTCTCTGTGGCACTGGGTAGGATCTCATGGTGTGGACACGCCACAACCAGCTTGGTCACTCATCTGCTTATTGGGCTGACTGTAGTTTGCTACATGACACACAAAACTGCTTTGAATGCTTATGTGCAGATTTTTCTAGAACATCAATCTTCATTTTTCTGAGATAAATACCCAGGAATGTCATGGCTGGGCCATATAATCACACGTTTAGTTTTTAAATAAACGTCCAACCTTGTTCCCTAGACTAGAGGTACAACTTTTGCATTGCCAACAGCAACATGTGAGCCACACAGTCTCTGTGTCTTCCACAAGAATCTGGCCGTCCTCTCTAGCCACCCTGACATGCAAGTGGGTCACTAACTTGAGGAGGACCTTGCCGTGTACTTAGTGCCATGTGCACACCCTCCTCAGTGCAAGGTCTGTGCATGTCTCTGACTCCTTTCAGTTGGATTGCTTCCCTGGCTCTTCCTTCCCTCCCACCCCCTTCCAGTACCCAGAGCTCTGTCCTAGAGCACAGTGCAGACCCTTGTCTTTTGTCATCGACATGGGTTGCAAATAGTTTCTCAGGGTCTGTAGCTCATCTCCGTGTTCATATGTCCATTTATAGGAAAACAAATTTACCTTCTATGGATTGTGATCTGGTGTCAAAATTGAGAAGAATTTGCCCAAAAAGTTCATGTATGTCTGTTTCTAAAACCTTTTATAGTTTTACATTTTAGACTCAAGTCCTTGGTTCGTCTGGACCTAATTTCTGTGAAGTCATGGGTCTGAGCACCTGCGGGTGCCCTAGCAGGGCTGGTGCTCCGCCTGCAGGTCCCTGTGCTCCACGCCACTAACCCAGACGGTTTTCTTCACTCCCCAGGCACTTAGACCTTGGGTCTCTTCCACTACCATTTTTGTGATTTTTAGCACACACATATTTTTAAGTTTAAACCAAAGTATTTAACTTGCTTTGTAGCAATCATGAAATTTTTGTGTTTTTTAAGTTTCTGTATGTTTATAATTACTATATTAAATGTGACTTGTTTTTATTTAAATACTTTTTTTGTTATAGGTGGACACAATACCTTTATTTCTGTTTTTTTACTTTTTTTCTTTTTATGTGGTGCTGAGGATCAAACCTAGTGTCTTACTCTTGCTAGGTGAGCGCTCTACCTCTGAGCCACAAACTCAGCCCTGTGACTTGTTTTTTAATTAGATTTATCAATTGTATCAGTTGGAAAGGGATCAAATTTTGTCTTATGAGTTTCTCTATTTTTTATCTCATTAACCAAGCTTTATTTAATTATTTCCTCTCTTTAATATCATCCGGTATGGTTTGCTCTTCTGTAACTGCATGAAACCGCAGCTTAAATCATTGATTCACATCTCTTATGTATACAGTAAAGACTTCCATCTAAGAAAACTTTTTTTAACAGTAGCATTCTCATTCTCATTCAGTTCTAAGTAGTGTCTAATTTTAAGAATAGTTTATTTCTCAGTCTATCTTAAAACATCTAAGTGTTTTTCTAATAATCATCTAAAATTATTCTGGCTATTTATAATTTGGTCAGAGAAAATACTCTGCATAATTTTAACCTTGTGATATTTATTAAAATGAGCATCACTATTTGGAATATAGTCCATTTCACTGAAAGTGCCACAGGCATTGGAGTCAATGGTAATCTGTGGGGGTGGCTGCTGAGATTTCGATGTATCGAGTTTGTATTCAGGTTGCTCAAACGTGCCACAGGGCGGCTGATCTCTCCTCTGACTGCTGCGTTTAGAGACTTTGTGAAAATACCCGCTTAGCCCAGAGGCTCCTGCCCTGCTTGCAGCGAGGTCCATTTCTGTCACACGTTGTGAGAGCGAGCATGTTCACATCCAGTGCTCCTGGCTGCACCGTCCTCCTCCCCCGCCACCCTCCTCCACTGCTGCCCAGTGCTGCGATTACACACGTGTGGGATTTCCCTTCTCTGTTGGTTCTTACCAGGAGCGTGCTCTGGTAGGTCTGCGTCTGTCCCTGAAGGAGTAACGGGGTGGCTTTACCTCATTTCCACCCAGCCTGCTTTGCCCTTGCTGTGCATGGTGACCGCTGTTTTCCTTGCTGACTGACCAAGGACATCTTGATCACCCTCTTAGCTTCTTCTTTCTCAGCACTTCAAAGTGTCAGTGTCTTGGGTTCCACTTCCTCCCTCCACATGCAGAAGCTTCTCTCAGCCTTGCTTGGTCTTCTGAAAATAATGTCTCTTGTTTATGCAGTTTAAAGAGGTTTTCTTCTGATTTTCATCAGCATTATGACAATAATCTAGACTGAACTTTGCTTGCATTAAACTGACTACTTTATAAAGTTACCTACTTCTGAATTTCGATGTCTGTGGTCAGGTCTGGGAAATCTTGGTGGCCATCTCCTCCCACGCAGCTTTTGCCCTATTCTCTGTCTCTCTTACACAACTCAGGGACCTTTTCTGCAAGACTCCTCTTCCTTTTGTCTTTCTGTCTTGGTTCAATTATTTTCCTAATCTATCTTCTAGTTCAAACCAGACATGTTAAGTTCTTTATTTCAAGTATTTTCAATTCTTGAATTTCTATTTGATTGATGTTATAGATTAAAGGTTTTTCTAGAAATTGTTGATCACTTTAGTCATAGCACATTATTACACTTCCTTATTGTTACTGAAAATCTTGGTCTTTATTCTACTGGACTTTTTTGCGGGTGTGGGGTGGTGGTCATTGGAGTGTTTCTGGACACTGCCCATGATTCCTGACTGCCAGGTTTGCACCAGCCATCGAGCAGAGCAGTGTGCTGTTCTCCCCCAGAGGACCTGGAGTCTCTTCTGCCAGTCGGAGGCCACGCTGGCCCCACCAGTCAGTGGATGATCCAAGCCTGCTTCAGGCCAGTGGTTTCCAGTGCTTATCTTGTCTTAAAACACCGTCAGGAGGCTAGGATTTTTATAAGAAGGTCTCCATGAAAAGTCAGGCCACCTACCCCAGTCTTGCTCTACAGCATGGTGACAACCCAAAGCCTTGCTTAGCTGTGCACACCATCTCAGCAGCTCTGCAGCTTGGCTTCTTGGCTTCTAAATCCACAGAAGAGAGAGGGCA